CAGACCTGCCCCCAAAGACCCATGGACCCATGGAGCTCCAGAGATCCAGAGGTCTCCCCTGGAGCACCAAGACCCCAAAGAGCTTATCTGAAGAACTTAAAACTTACACCTCAAGCAGCTGCCAAGGGGCTTTTGAGATTTGTTCAACTTCAACTTTCTTTCAGACGCATCCACTTATAAATATTGGGGAGAAAGAAATCTACATAACAACTGATCAGAGCAGGCAGGATTAAAATGAAGGTTTTAAATGGTTAAATCTAAAGAGCAAATTTGATAAACACTGAGTAAATTCAACGAAACCAATGCTTCACCACAGCGGTTAGACTCGTGTCATCCTGATCGTGACTGACTGGTTTGAGGCTAATGTTTCCCTGCTGGATCCATCTGTCTACACACCTGCTCTGCCTTCAGGGATGGTCACACACCTGAACTAACCTAGCTAAAGCGGGACCAAAAACTCACATCATCTTTAAAAAATAAAATAAAAAAACCTCTCTTGCCTGATTTATAAACTTCCTTGTTGACTTTTTTTGTCCTAACATCTAATCAGTAACAAGTGGCTGAGATCAAACATCTAATTTTAAATCCCCGAGACAGCTGGGCTGGTCAAAGGTAAGCGTTAGCACTTTTAGTCATCCCTTCTGGTTCAATTCGACACACACATGGTGCTATGACATAAACACCATGCAATATTGGTTTAAAAAAGTACATTTAACATCATTTATTTAGCTGCAGATGAACTCATTCCTGCTGGAAGAGCTTTTAAACCCACAGCTCAGTGAACCTCATGTGTCCTTTTAAATTAGCAGGAAGTAGGTCAAATGCACAGTTGGAGAAAAAGAAAATAGCTGTGACCATGCATGCAAGTAAAGAGATGTTCATTACCCTTCCTTTTTAAAAGGCCTTTCTGATCAGTTTTACTAATAGTACAGGGATTAGAGATTACTAATCTGGTCCAAATTGGAGTATTATAAGCATTTGGTGGTCTCTTATAATGTCATCATCTTAAGTAACACTTATGATGATATGATAATAACACTTTTATTTGTAAGCTCCCAAAATGTTATTGTGGTCACACTTAAGGCTATTTCAGTATTTGAAGACATGTTTTTTGGGTGTTTTATGACTTTATAGATTATCTGTCAACGTATCTGTATGCACAGATATCTTTATCTGAGTTGTGTTCTGTAATGGGCCATCTATTGATATGGTTTGCTCTACACACATGCAAATATGTAAACAATTGCAGCAAAAAATAAAACAATTTTGCATCAATTCAAAAGACTTAAAAATCATGCAAATCTGACATTTTGCATCTTTTTGTGCTGTCATGTATGACGCTCCAAATGTGGAGAAAATAAATCTGCTTCCTGTCAGAGTTTGATTTAGGAATTAGAAACTAGAAGTTTCAAAAAGTTGCTGATTTTGACACTAATTACCAAGAATTACGCTCCTTTCTTCAATACAAGTCAATAAATTCAATAACACACACACGTTTATATTAGTTGGCTAAACAAGATGATGAAATTGTATACACACTTTGAGCTATTTTTTTGCCGTATCGTTTCTTTGCAACATGATCATCTTATTTGTGGCATCTATGCTCATGTAACAACCTGAAACCAGCAGACAGACACAACTATGTGCTGGAAATTATTTATCAATAGAAGCAAAAATCTTTTCAAAAATCACAGTTTTCTCTCTTTTTGACACTGACTTGTCTTTTCTGCCATCTTCTGTGATCAGACTCTCCTCTCTAAGCTGATCACTGCTCTCCTCTTCCTGCCGCGACACATTTATGTCACTTCCATGAACTCTCTGCAAGAGCTGGGTTGTTGCAAATGTTCACTGTTAATCAGTGAAAACAAAACTGGATAAATGTGACGCTTTATTTAAAATTGGATTAAAAATTAAAGTGAAAGGTAAAATTCAAGGATTTTTCTAAATAGCCATGATCTGCTCCCTCCCTCTGTCTTCCCACTCACTACTGTCATGCTTTCACCATTTTTGATGCTGCAGGGGAGGGATACAGCTAGAGTTTGCAACACTGTAAACCTGCAATATTCTTCTAAACACACACACACACACACACACACACACACACACACACACACACACACACACACACACACACACACACACACACACACACACACACACACACACACACACACACACACACACACACACACACACACACACACACGCACAAGTACAAAAAGGGTGCGTTGACCCCCCAAAAAACCCCGAACAGTGTTTCTCTAGATGTGAATTTAAAGTGAAGCACATGAAAAAAACCACTGACTAAATGTGTTTTCATGATTGTGAGAGTGGCTGAGTGCTGGCACTGATGGGATTAACGTTTATCTCTATAAATGGATTAAGGAAAATTGGAGTAAAACAGAAATCACATTAGTTGTATTCCTTTTGCACAACAGAAAAAATAAACAAATTCAAAGCCAGAAACTTGTTCCCATAACATAATTCTAAATGAAGAAGCAGCTGCTTCAGTCAAATCTTGAAAATGAAAACATTTACAAGTACTTTTTAAACCAGAATATCGTGAATGACTCTCAGCAAGGATAACATTAACTTTTATTTCAATATTCATAAAATACATATCCACAAATGTTGGTTAAACTCAGTTATACATAAGGAGCTCTGATCACAAAAGGAGTTATGCAGAAATTGTGTAATAAATGCAATATAATACTACTGTAATTGATAATTGAGAGCGTCATTGTTTTAGCTCATTTTATATTCAGATATAATATTAGATGTGTTAGTGTGGAGAAACAAACAAGTTTAATAATCATTACAGGGTTACTGAGGTCAGCGAGTCATTAACACGTCACCATCTGTTTTACACAGTCTGTGGAGAGACTATAGACTAGGTGACGTTTTTGCTCATCCTGGTCAAGCACCTGTTTATTTAAAGGGAGGGGCATCACAAACATGCTAAATGTGACTTTTTAGTCCAGAAACATGGATTCTACTTTTATTTAATTCATTTTACTTTCCTGAACACAAATATTTCACTAGTATCCACTAACATATTTTCAGTTGAAAAATACAACAATCAGGCACTGTCGCTGGTTCTGGCAGCCGTATGCACCCACCTATATTTTGGGTGACGCTCTTCAGTCGCTCCAGCAGCTCCCCCAAGGCCATCACATCGGTCTTCATCCACAGGAACATCCTCCAGAGGGACAGTGGAAGACTAGCTGTCCAGCTGAAATGCACCGTCTTAGGAAGAAGAGACAGCTTGGCTGCTTTTTGCCTAACCAACGTTTGACGAGTGGATGGCGATGAAGAGGACAGGAGAGGGGGACCCTCCGATGAAAAACCCAGATGGGCAGAATGGATGAGACAGATGATGCAGCAGGGTAAAGTCACCAAGGATGTGACTGCCTGGTTTCTAACACATTCAAAGCAACGTAAGTGTGCACGGTTTGGCGGTGCTATGTAGAAACACAAAAGCATCCAAGGATGAGGAGAATCATGCAGAAATGGATGATGGAGGGATGCTGAAGCTGCATCTCCTAGCTTCAGGAACAAGGTCGAGTCGTTCTCAGAAGAAAGCAAAGCGAGGGATGACAGCAGAGGAGCTGGGGAGGACTTGACAACCTCATTCACACATGCATGTTTCAGCTTCAGCACACATGATGCTGCAAACCTGTGCAGATCTCAGCAAACCAAAAGGGGGAGGGGAAGTGATGATCTGAGCTGCAGTTTCACATAAACAGCTGATGCAACAGTGACATCCAGCGTGGAGAAAAAAATATAACAGCTGCGTCATGAACAGCAGGACAGAATGGTCATGCACCAATGGTTATGCTGCATTGCCACCATGTGATGATATATGGTTATGACACCAACTGGATCTGAAAATAAAAATAAAGTGTAGTTTGTCCCTTGTAACAAAACAACAATGTATACATTTTATTTGTGTAACATCTGTGAACTTTTGAATGTTTCTTGTCTCAATCTTCAAAACTGAGAAATATCAGCATTTCCCGCTGTTTAAAAAAAGTTTTATCTGGTCTTTTCTGGTTTTATTTTGATAGTGGGTTAGCTAATCAGCATTTTGTGGTATGTGAAGTCTCCAAAAAACAGTTACACACACTTGTCTACAATTAATAATAATAATAATAATTTCATTTGTACTGCGTTTTACATTTAAAAATCTCAAAGCTCTTACAAAAAAAAGACAGAAACCTTTGCTTAATTAGACTTAATTATTTGTATTTTTGATAGACCATAGTTATGAGCTTTCACCTCTGATGTTTTCTGTTTGGAGTGTAACAGTTTGTGATGCAATGCATTATGGGATACCTTGTTGGCCCAGGTCTGCACAAGGATGCGTTGATGCATCCTTGCTGCAAGGAGCAAGAACACATCCAGGAACTTTGAACGTTCTTTACATGATATGTACTTACTGGAACAGTACTTAAGCCAACGTCAATGACGTTTCACAAGTACGTGTTGCAAGCACACAAGTTCAGGCAAGTACACGCAATGAGAAATGACCTCAGTGTCCAGGTGCACCAGTGACAGGGGCTGCTAAAAATAAGACACAAGTGCCCCCTAGTGGCTGGCTGCTGAACATAGTTTAGGCCACACCCCTTCCTTAAAAGTGAAACATTTTTTAATAATGAAAATATCTTTTATTTTCTTCATAATTGCTTCTATTGATTCACAGTTTATGAACTGTAACCTCAAATTTATATTCTTCTAAAACATTGTTAGTGCAAACTTATTGTGCATTACTCTGGCTCCAAAAACACAACATGGACACTTTTGTAAACAGAACATCAGAAGAAGACGAGTCTTTATATACGTGTATAGAATGACATCATAAAAGGTGGAGGGAGGGCCTAGCTGGACTAAATGAACGGTAAATTCTGAAATCAATTCTGTGACGACGTGAAAAGGAGAGTGGAAGAGAAGATTAACTATAAGAGTAGTGCACCAAAAATAGAATAAACAAATTCAGTAAACACTTTTTGTTTCTTTCTTTATTACAAGCAGAATGACAATACGGTGCTTTTGTCCTCATTTGCTACAGACAGGCTGGCAAAAAAGTCAATAAGTGAACTTTTTAAAAAACCTTATCCCAAAAAAATGAGGGGAAAAAAAAGAGAATTTGTCAAAAACAGTTTAGAAATACAAACAGCGCCATTCTGAAGGTAATACATGAAGAGTGCTGCCCAGAGCAGACATTTCAGACCTGTGCCGAGCCCAGGAGGAACAGGATGAGCACCTGCTGTTGTGCTGATGGATTTAGAAGAAGAAGAAAAAAAGCATTTTGACATTCTGATCTGCAGTAGAAGGCTGGTGTGATAAACCCACTGAGACAAGACACTTCCTTCCCTCTCCAGTCATTTGGTCACTTGGTTTTTTTCACCACCTAAACAATCTTCTTAGAAAAATAACTTGTGAGGAAAAGTAAACTATAACTCCAGCTGACATAGACCTTGCTTTAGGGGGTGAAACGGATTCATTTTAAAACAAAGTGCAGTGTGTAGGACTAGCTACCGAACCGTATCATTTATATTGTATTCCCATTTTGGTTACAAACTTCAACACACATTGTAACGGCGTTAAAATAGAATTCTTCTCTCTGAGATACAAAACTAGAGGAAGGAATATTCACAACGGACAAGGAAAGAGTGAAATATACTAAATATAAGGTGTTTAAAGCATCGAGTCATGAAAATGAAACATTACAGCAGTAACTGACAGCAGGGCTGGTATGTAGAGCATGTCTGGATGAAGTATGGCAACAGCGCAGTGAGGTGGCAAATGTAAACACCAGGGCCTGTCCTTTAACCCGACCCAGGTGAGATTCTCAAGAGGAAACAAGACAAATAAATCACCTGTGCCCAGGTAGGAAAAACACCCGTTATCAAATCTATACAAGTTGGCAGATGGTGATGTGTATGAAAATAAACTGTATAAACATATAAAAAATGCTTCAGAATGTCACATTCAAGACTTCCAGAGTCAGAAACTTCCTACATTAACCAGACAGGTACGCTTTGGACCAAAGGAAAGGGCTTTCTGTTCAAAATGCAGAAAAGAGGTTCGTCCATTGTGAGCTACAATCTTCAGCTGGAGGACATGATGGAGAAATAGATTCAACATTCTCAATGATTTGATTGTGACGTCGCCAATTCAAGTCTCCCTCCTCTTTAGAACAGCGTATGGTAACGCAACACAGACAAAAAAACCCCAACAACTTCATCACATCATATTCTGACGTGAACATCTGTGTGACACACAACATGGCAGCCAATACACAAGCACACAGCAACTGTGAGGGGTAGCAAAGCCATTTAGGACGTCCCCTCCATCTTTCCAAGCGCTTGCCCTGAACGGCCACACGGTGGCAGTGGAGAGCGCGCTGTGCTCACTGATCAGGAGAAAGAAAAAGTGCTTTGAGATGTTTTCTGATGGACCCAGCCTGGGATGCATGACGGTAAGGAGGATTAGTTCAGCATGCAGACGATCCAACATGCGACAGACAATAAAAATACTAACGTTTGACACCACAGTAAGGGTAAAACAACCTAAAAGTGGGACAATAGATACATTTACTGATATGTTGCTCTGTGAACCCCCTTGTACTCCCATAAGTCGATCTACAGAAAATGTGTTGATATGAATTAAGGCAGTGTGGCAAAAATACTGCACTTCCTCTTTGAGTCTGTCTCCTCTTCAGCTGATGAGTGTGTGTAAGTAAGGCTTCATAATATACCAATTTATTTATCTTTTATACCTTTAATCTTTATCTCCTAGCCTGCACCTATAAGGCATACGTGTGTCACATACAAACATACAAATGACAGGCAATTACATGCATACTCATGCATGCACACACGCACGCACACACACCTAAAGGGATGAGCTTGACGGCTACCCATCCTTACTTGGCCAGACCACATAATATACATAAAGGTTTTTCACAAATATTTGCAAAGAAGCAAAAACAAACGACATGAAAATGGACAAGGAGACGAAATTACACGAGAGTGAAAGAAAGGGTTGAAGACATTTCTGCAGAGCAATAACATCGTCCCCTTTCAGAATGTTCCGAGTGTGAGTTTCAGCAGGAACTTTAAAGTGAGGTGATAAAGAAACGTAAAGTTATGAGAATGAGGAGAAAGGGCAACACCTTTAAAAAGAGGTAGTCCACTCCGGTGCAGCCCAGAAAATGGACATGAATTAACCATGGGGTGCCAGTGCTTCTGGTATGTGTGAACAGGTTTGTTTTGGTCTATGAAACCCGTCAAACATCTTGGGATGTCACAACTTTTTTTGGATTCTTGTAGGTTCACACAGAGGTCTCCGGTCCCGGAGCGTAGGAGGCAAATCCCGCCCCTGAGAGACGAAGCATGTAAGGGCTGAGAGGATTAGCTCCACCTTCCTCTGTGAAGTGGGCCAGGAGTTTCTGGGGAAGAGGACTGGATCTGCTGAGGGACAGCGTTTCTGCAGCGCCAAGGCGGAGGCGAGAGGCATCCGTGCTTCTGCCTTTGTAGGGTCGACGACGAAAGGACAGAGGAGTCAACTCGGCCACGCCGCCTGACAACAACTTTTCCTACAGAAACACACAAAGAAGAGAATTCAGAAATGGACATAAGAACACCCAAAATGATAAACACTCATTAAAACAGTGAAGACAAAGTTGGGGCTACTTTCTGCAGACTTTCCCCCCAAAACTGGGATATTATTTTCTCTAAATTGAATTTGCTCATCACAAATCTGGACATGAATACAATTAAGAGCCTTCCAGTCAGACTTTGTTGAATTCACACCAGCAATGTCATGTTCCAAACACTAGATGTCACAAGTTAACCCCACACACTGCATGAAAACAGTGATGGATTAGGTAACCTGCTAGGGAACTTAAGTGACTCCGTCCACATTCAGCTTCTTTGTTAGAACCTTCAGCCTGAACTTCTCAAGTCCTTTATATGATCTGTGTCTTGGCCCAAAACCCCAAAATACTTGACTAATTCTTGGAGCCTACCTGGCAGGTGGCAACAGAATTTAGATCAAGAAAGGTGGAGATTCTCATTTGGCTGCTTCTGAAATTAAAGAGCAAGTTACCCCCTTCCATAGTGTAACTCCACTCCCACTTCCTGTTTTAAAAGTGCAAGAAATGCTGTCGCCTGGCAGACCAAGAGGGCGGAGCCGCTAACAAACACACACACACACACACACACACACACACACACACACACACACACACACACACACACACACACACACACACACACACACACACACACACACACACACACACACACACACACACACACACACACACACACACACACACACACACACACACAGCATTTTGACATAATATGGTACCAGCTAATGTCATGGGGTACCTCTTAGCCAATAGCGAGGGCAGATTTAAATTCAATCAGCTCAGTGGCCTAGTGGTAGAGTGTCCGCCCTGAGACTGGAAGATCAGGGGTTCGACTCCTGGTCGGGTCATGCCAAAGTCTTTGAAAAAACGGAACCCAATGCCTCCCTGCTTGACACTCAGCATTAAAGGGTTGGATTGGGGGTTAAACCACCAAATGGTTCCCGTGCACGGCTGTGTCTGCAGCTCACCGCTCCCCCACGGGATAGCGGAGAACAAATGTTGTCACACACATCAATGTGTGTGACAAATAATGGGACTTTAACTTTAAATGCAGTGCAGAGTTTTTACCTGAAGACGGCGCAACACTTACAGGCAGAATATTTAAATTTGAACTAAGATGCACTAAAGTGCCAACAACATAAAATTATTCATAAGGTACATCATACAGTGAATGATGCATGCTTTAAATGCATGCATCTTGCTCAGAAAATAATAAAGGGGCACAAAAGACATGGAAAGGAGGAAATAGAATTAACATAAACAAGACATTTTGGATTATTTGTAGCTAGGCAATGCAACTTTATTTATATAACACATTTCATATACAGAGGCAATTCAATGTACTTAGCAGGTTAGTGGAGTTTTAGTTAAGGTGTAGAGACACCGGGTCTAGTCACCATGCACACACAGAGGGATTAAGTATAGAGTCACCTCCTCTTCCTGCTCCTCTCTTGTCTCTCTGGGCCAATCAGAAACTCATTCTGCTGGAGGACTGAGAAAGCATGAAGATGGTGGACGGCTCCACAGTAAGGCACGGGCGGGTGGACTGCAGTTACCATGAAAGAGCGCGTAAACGGAGAGAGAGTCACAACCACACAGGAGCAGAGGTGGGACAAAAGGATGAAGGAGAGAGAGAAAAGTTGATGATGAAGTGGAAGAGGATGAAGGCAGAAGTGAGAGAAGGCAGAACAGAAAACAGAGGAAAGGAGTCGTGTCAGTTTGGATTAGGGTGATCCATGAAGGTGAAGCGAGAAGAGGGAGAAAGAAGGAAAACAAAGCAGTCAGTCAGACCTTTCATTCAGTTTTCATTTCACAGTGAAGCTTTCTTTAATGGAGGGTTAGGGTAAGCTACAGGGAACAGGAAGTCAGTTTCAGATCAAAGCTAATAACGGACTCAAATGTCTGATTACTGACGACCATTTTAGCTTGGCATGCTAAATATTTACAGCTGATTTCATGTCAGTGACTCGGTGGCTAAATAGAGACAATATTACAAGTCACCAGAGGAAAACCGTTACCTGTGCACGGTCAGTCGCTGTGGGACAAACGGTCCTGCAAAGGACCTTCTTGATGACATCTGGCAGCAAGCTGACAGTGATGAGGAGGATGATGCTGAGCCACGCCGGGCCACTGGACAGCATCTGCATGAACACGTAGTACATCCTCTGGTAGTTCAGGAAGGGCCTACACAGCAGAAACAAGCAGGAATTCTAAAGTGGGACACTAGTCAACATCAATGGTTACCAGTTCAATCTAAGTGTGTCGTTACCAAATAATGCCGCCCCAGAGGAGAGAGAAAATAACATAGAAAAGCAGCGAGCCCCAGATGACAAAGTGATTGATCCAAGTCCAGTGGTGGGTGTCTAGAGCAAGCTGAAACAAACAGAACCACAGTAACGACTAATCAGTGGATTTAGGGTTAGTTTAACCCTAACCAGATATTCATCCAAAATTTGGTGTGCTAGTCGCTGAGAGTCATTCATAACGGATTACTGGACATCTTGCAATAATGCACAAGATCATCTCTTTCAAAATAAAACCAAAACTGTTAAAACTCCACGCTGTCTCGAAATACGAAGATCTGTGTGTTTATTTTTTCCTCTAATTATGCAAAAAATGTGAATAATGTTCAAGTAATTTATGCAGCATAACAGCATGCAAGCCCCTGGCGTGACAACCCAACCATGCTTTGTAACAGTCGTGTTTCTTTAAAGAAAACCTGGTTTTATCCCAAAGATGAGCGCAGGCACACACACCTTGAGTGTTACGGTGAACACCAGAACGGTAAAGACGAGCGACCCAAACGTCCAGTTCCCAAACATCTGAGAGAAAAGAGAATAAGACCGTTAACGGCCGCCATCAGCATTATTTAGTTTCCAGATTAGGATTTTACAGTTCATTCAAGGTGCATAAAAAAAGAGGGATTAAACATCATCCTGGAGAATTCTGTCAGTTTTGTTTCCGCTATTGGTAATCTATGTTTTTTTTTAATAAGTGCTGAAATCCTAGAGGGGCTTGAAGCAGACATCAGGATTTAACAGATGGGAGTATGGAAGAGAGAGGAAGAGGGTGGAGAAACGAGGATTACAGCAACGAAACTACACAAACTAGATTAGTAATCTAACAGCAAATATGGCCGTTGGTAGTAAAAAAACCCACCAAATTTAGCAGGAATTCCTTCTCAGATTACTTCTTCATCTTTTACGCAAATTTCATTCATTTCCATTTCAAAGGAGTGAAGAAAAACAGACACACAGCACGACACAAGGACCATGTGGGGAAGCATCTAAGATCTCTACCATGTCAGTGGACTGGTTAAGATCGGTTCAGGGTCGGCACTAAGACTAACATCCATATGAAGGTGCGTGAAGGATGAGAGGCGAGGAAGGATGAAACGGCCAAACTGAAACCTTACAACAGGAACTAAAAGGGAGATGAAGGACAGAGAGAGCTGACAGGGAGGGAGACAGGCTTACCATCTGTGTGTTGGTGGTCATAAGCTGAAGAAGAGGAGGAGGAGGAAGAGATAGAAGAGGAGGAGCAAAATAAAGAGCGAGGAAGCAAAAGAGAGTAGGGAGGGGGAGAAAAGAGAAAATAATCAGGACAAAGGGTAAAAATGAATTTCGAGATGTTCCAACTTAAAAAACAGGACTTAAGGCAATTAAAAACAGTTGACATGATATAAAGTAACAATACAGAGAAAGATGCTATTGTGTTGTTGATATGAATGGAGATCCAATGTTACAGACCTAAAGTATCTCGGGGTCTTGTTCACGAGTGAGGGTAGGAGGGATCGGGAGATCGACATGCGGATTGGTTCGGCGTCTGCAGTGATGCGGACACTGAGCCGATCTGTCGTGGTGAAGAGGGACCTGAGCCAGAAAGCCAGGCTCTCGATTTACCGGTCGATCTACGTCCCAATCCTCACCTATGGTCATGAGCTTTGGGTAATGACCGAAAGAACGAGACCGTGGATACAAGCGGCCGAAATGAGTTTCCTCCGTAGGGAGGCCGGGCTCAGCCTTAGAGATAGGGTGAGGAGCTCGGACATTCGGGAGGGACTCGGAGTAGAACCGCTGCTCCTCCAGATCGAAAGGAGTCAGTTGAGGTGGTTTGGGCATCTGGTCAGGATGCCTCCTGGACGCCTCCCTGGGGAGGTGTTTCGGGCATATCCTGCTGGCAGGAGGCCCCCGGGTCGATCCAGGACACGTTGGAGAGGTTACATCTCCAATCTGGTCCGGGAACGCCTTGGGGTCCTGTCGGAGGAGCTGGTGGAGAAGGCCGGGAGAGGACGGTCTGGAGCTCCCTAGTTGGGATGCTGCCCCCGCGACCCTGACCCAGATAAACGGAGGAAGACGATGATAACGACTACTTTAACACCACACTAAAGAATAAAAGAATCCATTGAAGATGGGCGTTCATGGAGACTTTACATCCATTAGCCATCCCTAAAGATCACCAAACCAGTTCCAGAGGTGCTGTTTTCTTAAGTGTAGTGCTTACAGCCTATCTGACTCACCTGGCCATTGCTGGTGAAGGTGGTGTTGTCAAACAGGAAGTAGGCACCGAAGAAGAAGATAACGGCGTCAAACACACCCAGGCATGTCCAGTACAGGAAGACAGGCCAGCGGAGGAGAGAGTTCTTGGCAATGTCTCTGAAACAGACACAGTCAGAAATGTTATTATTAGGGCTGGGACTTGATAAAATTTTTTAATCTAATTAATTAGAGGCTTTTTAATTAATTAATCTAAATTAATCACATTTTAATCGTTCAGGAAAATGTGCTCTCAAAGCCTTTAATTAAAATTATGAGACAGAGAATCAAACATTAGACATGGTTATTACTGTAAACTAAAGCTTTTAATAAAAAATGCATTTTAATTATTCTAATGTCACTGTGTGATATGAAACAAAACCCAAATCAACTAAAATGTATAATTACAAATAGAAAACATCTGCAAAGGGTTCCTGAGCCTTTAAGTAGTCTCTCTGTCTAGATGAATTACTGAAATAAATTTGACTTTGCACCAGATTCTAATTTTTCTAGTTTCACTTGTTTTTATAATTGGGAGTTTTTATTAGCATTTCTACTCATAATGTAGTAAAAACACACATATAAATAATAATCCTTCAAAATGACAGTAAAACAGGCACAAATATGATCTAGGATTTAAATGTACTAGCTTTTAACACCAGAACAGGCGTGACATATTCTGAGAATGATCAGGAACACTAACTGGTTCCACTGGATGACTGGAGGATGATGGGAAGATAAAAGATCATGGCGAGGAAATAATGATCTGACGAACAGGTGAGCGGACCTTCCTTACACGGGAAGTCCTGATGTCACGTTAAGAAGGGGATGCTGCAGACCCGCAGATTCACGCCTGCAGCAGCGAATCTGGTGTGATCTCCAGCCTGATCACAACTTCCTCGTTCCTCGCTGCCCCTGATGCACTTAAGCATCCGCCCCTTAGCTGATGACAGCTTCAACACACCTCGCTGCTTAATGATAGTAATGCATGTGATGTTTGGACAGTGACTCGTCTCAGAAACATATAACTCCCCCACAGACTTGTTTAGAAAATCATCAGAAAAGTTTCAGTGTTTCTGTTTTAACTTAAACTTCTGTTTTCAACTTTAAGACACTTTGTTTGTGATTGTTTACAGAGTAGTGAGAACACGGAGCGTTCTCCCAGCGGCAGCCAGGTGCCTCTCGTTTGTCTGACTACTTTCATAAACTACTGTTAGGGCAAAGAATTATTCTGTCTGGTGCTTTCAGCGCTGCACAGATGTTACGTAAATGTTAAAAATATAGCTTACCGCAACTTTTGTAAAGTTTCTGGTGCCACAGGGCAGCCGCAGCAGTATCAATCTCTGAAAAATGTCCGCGACACGGACTCCGTTGTTGTCTGGAAGATTTTTTTTTCCAAGTTAAGAAAAGAGGCGGACATGTTTCCTAAATCCTGCATCAGTCCAAGCAAGGCAACTTCTTTCTGTTTTTATTCCGTTTTAGTAGCCATTAGCACTGTGCATTGTTGTGTGCGTCAGTGATATTCAGTATACGAGGAAGTCGTGCAATGACAAAGGTTCCGCCGTGCTCGAAATGCAAGCTGCGATTAAATGCGTGAATTTTTTTTAACGCGTTTATTTTTTTTCTAATTAATTAATCATAATTAACGCGTTAAAGTCCCGGCCCTAGTTATTATAGAAGTATTAAAACATAAAGAGACACAAATAAAGGCATCTGAGAAAGTCACCTGTACAAAGAGGGTTCCCTCTTTAAGGTCTCCATGGTGACGTGCTGCTCAACCAGGCTGTAGAGGAGGATGGGCAGCGAGGTGAAGCTGATGTTGTACAGCGTTAAATACGCAGTGTCGTACAGAGGCTGCATGGGAGGAAAAACAGATGGGATTAGACACCTGGAACAAAAAAAATAAACCCATCTGGGGATTTTAGTGGTGGACTGACTGATTCAAACATAGATCTATAGAAAGCAGAGCAGCTGATGGACACTTTATACAGCTGATTATGTTGCTTTTGGATCATAAATGTAGCAATACCATATTTATTATAATTTATTAGATTTAGAAAAATAATTAACAAAACTGTGTTTTATGTATTGTCCAAATGGGAGCCCTGTTTAAGGAGCCTTGAAATTATATAATTTGACAGCAGGTTCAAAGGTGTGAAAATCTGAAAATGACAAAATTGCACTTATTTTGTAGGCATCCCAAAACTCTACCTCACAGTTCAAATCTGGGCTTTCCACCACAATGTAAAAGCTGCGTTTTCACCAATAACTCAGCGGCGTGTCCCTTCCTACCGTAACAGTCATGTGCAGTGGCTGCTAGTGTGTTTCATCTGGTCCAGCGAGATCACAAATCACAGGAGAATAGCAAGATCATGGATGGGTTTTCCAGTTCACACAATAACAAGCCAGGAGATAGATGGCAGCATGTATCCAAAATATAATGTTTTGGTGCTTTTTACCCCTGCCACAGGTAATGATGCATTTTATTTTTAGAGATGATTAATTAAAAAAAAAAATCGGATGACTTTTATTTTGAAATTTGCTGAATGCTTTACACAGCTCCTGCTTCATTTCCTGTCTGTCCTGATCTGAACTGCTGAGCTTGACGTAGTCCGGATAGATAACATCGGTAAATAGCTGCATCTTGTGCTTTGCAGACGTCATGCACACACCCGTTAAACCATCTGGACAATCTAGCTGATAAACCATTTTCTGAATCTATAACCCATGCAACACAGCCATTTTCTAAAAGTTCCTGCGTCAATTTATTTGAGCACTTTCTGAAAATTTGCAAACCTTTTTTTGTGTCTCCGACTGGTCACAGCCCAGTTAGATACCAGTATTAGATGGAGCAGCCTGACCCAGATCACGTTAAGTAGCTTAATTAAAGCTGCTTTTGCAGTGAAACTATGTTTATTGATCTTAAATCAAAGACTCATGAATGTCCATGTGCTTCAAAGAGTTCAACTTCTGCACAGAATAAAGCTCCTACCTGCTGGGAGAACCCACAGAAGAACTGATACAGGAACTGAGGGAAGATGAAGCAAACGTTCTGCAACAATTTAAGAAAAGAAAGAGACAGAAGTGGATAAAGTGATCAGATAGTGACAGGTACAAGTGAAGTTGTTTCAAGAACCTGAACAAACAACTATCTATATGCTTGTGTTAATGGAGAGCGATGAGCTCACTGAGTGGGCGGCAAAAACATGGCCCACCAAAATAAAACTAAACTACACAAGAAAAACAACAGTTGGCGAGGCACTTCATCCTGTAAAAGCCACCCACACTGATTATCACGACCGCATAAACCCAGTGATCTGTCAGAGTCGCTGAAAAATCCGGTTCTTTGTAGCTCGGTATTTCGCTGGGATTTACCATAAAGTGATTAAAATGAGCGAGTCCCTGGAGCGCCCAGAGATTTGTCTGCTACCTTGTAGAAGAAGTACTGAACCAGCTCAGCAATTCGGATGTAGTAGTAGTGGCCGTGGACCAGCAGCATCTTCTTCAGGTGTTTGAACTTTGGAATGGCGTAGTCGCTGTTTCTGGCCGCCTGTCGGCCTTCTTTACCCATGATGCCTAAAGGAGGAAGACAGATCCCCATTACTGCAACATTTTCACCCATGCTGCCTTATTTGTTCTCTTCTCAGATGATCTGGCTCAAATAGAAAGCAGCACATGAACTACTGGGGCAATTAGCTCGTAATTATTGCAGTAAGTGAACTCACCGATGCCCACATGAGCCTCCAGGATCATGCTAACATCATTAGCTCCGTCACCAATAGCCAGAGTAATGGGGTGCTCTTTTGAAGCTTTGATTAGCTTCACAATCTGCCAAAATAATGAAAAACACATTTAGATTAAGATAACTGTCTTTTTTTTTAGTGGTCTTGAGTGGATTTGAAATCGTCACCTGTGCTTTCTGCAGCGGTGCCATGCGACAGCAGAGGACAGCGCTACAGTTGCGACAGATTTCTAGAAACACCTCTCTGTAGTTGCCGTGACCACCGCCCTCCTGGTTTGACTTTAATATTGCAGATAGGGTGGCCCCATCGATGATCAGTCCAAAGTCGAGGCAGTCGACTGACAAACTGCAAGAACAAACCACATAACGGGTGTAAAAACGCACCAACACAACCAAAGGCCAGGTTTGTAGTCCAAGCTGCAGAAACGGTACCCAGAGATGGAGCATTGTCTGAGAACCGTCCTGTTCAGCTCAAACAGAACGTCATGCAGACTCTGCTCCTCCGTGCGTTTCTTGGTCAGCTCCAGGATCTGCGTGCTGCGGCGAAACAGCTTGCTGGCGTAGCAAGTAGCGGCAGCCGTTTCCATTTTGTCCCCCGTGAGGACCCAGACTTTGATCCCGGCCTTGTGCAGCGACTCGATGGTGTCTGCAGCTTTCTCTTGGAGCCTGTGCATCAAATAAGTCAATAAGTGGCTCAGCCTCCTCTCAGGTGGTCTGAGCGATCCATCAGAGCTTCAGCCAATCAATTACCAACGAGTGATAACTTATCAATGCACGACCACCCCCGGCCTTACCCATCAGCAGTTTATCTATTAGGAAATTAAACTGTCAAGCAGTTGATTGGTCAATCGATACTGAAGTGTATTTAATTAGAACACAAGTTTTTTATATGCAAAGAAAAACAAAACATCTCCAAAAAGCTAAAATGAACCAATTTTCTCAGATTTTTTATGTCACTTCATAAATCTGCAGACTAATTTTTAACCCCCCCCCCCCCCCCCCCCCCCACACACACACACACACACACACCATGTACCAACCTGTCCTCTACCGCTGTAGCACCCAGAAGGACTAAATCCCTCTCAATGATGTCATAAGCCTGCGCCAGTCTCTGCTCCCTGTCCTGCAGGGCCAGCTTGGCTTCCGTTAGGTGACGACACGCTACCTGATATTCAGATGCGGACAACCTCCGATAGGCGACACACAAGGTCCGCAGACCCTCCTGGTTTGAAGATAGACAGAAAGTCAGTCAAATGTACAAAAGGTCATTTATTTCTAATACATCAAGCTCTCAGGTGAACCATTAAAGCCTTTAAAGTTTGGCCACCTGTGTATAAGTGGGGCATCCTTACAGAGGGAAGAGGTTAGATTTCAATATGGATCATGATCCAACAGCAGCACTTTAGACAGGAAAACCGTCAGTGGGGCCCCATGGGGTCAATCGTGTCCATCCCAGCCTTAAAACAATCAATGGCTTATGCGCAAGAAGATCTCGGCTTGAGTTGGGAGTGCAAAGCAATCAACGCTTTTATCGTTTTGACTGGATCTTTATTTAGTAAAAGGGTAAAAAGTTAATGCAGCTGAATTAAAAATAGTTGGTTGATTACACATTAAAAGTCCTAGAATTACTAGAATTATTAATTTCCCTTATTTAAAGAGGAATTTATAGAGTTTTAAAGGAAAACGACCTGATGCTGAGAGAGGAAGAAATCTTGAAAATAACTCTATGATCAGTCTCATATGAAATTGCTAAATAATACATGATGTCATAGGAACTTTTGCAGAACGTAGGATCTTTGCATCTTCAATCAAAACCTACTTTTGTTCCTTTTCTGCAGTTTCAACTTCATTCCTGACACATCTGCACAGATGTGCTGGATACAAAGTTAACACCTACGGTAGCAAAACGTATTTAAAAACATGTTTTATTTTAATGCTCACACAAGAATATTAATTTAGAACATTTTAAGGATGTTTTATTAGCAAATAATGCCACTCCCCCAAAAAAGAAAAGCCTGTCATTTGAGCAATAAACGATAGCATTCTTGAACATAAATGAAAATCAAAAATTAGTTGAGCACTCTGAAGCTATAAAAGATATAGCAGCAAGAATACATCGTAGCGTTGGACCCGTTTCACAGCTGTGCTGGTAAAAATGTTCACTTACTACAGCATTCTGCTCCACCCGGGCTTTAACTTGCTCCACCTTTCCAGAGACCACTCGAGGAAAAATAGATGAGTCTGCACCTTTGCAGAACAGCAGGTACTCTCCTGAGAACACACACACACGCACACGCACACGCACGCACACGCACACACACACACACACACACGAACACACACACACGAACACACACACACACACACACACACACACACACACACACACACACACACACACACACACACACACACACACACACACACACACACACACACACACACACACACACACAGTAGAGTGTATGATGCAGAAACAGTGTTTTTGTGAATTTGTTAGCGTAATAATATGAGTGTGTGTGTGTACGTGTGTGTGTGTGTGCGTGTGTGTGGCAACATCTTACCTGAACTTGACTTGACGATGACGCTCATCCTCCTCCTGACAGAGTCGAAGTTCAGCACGTGGAGAAGCTCAAACCTGAAGGAAAGATGCACAACAAACATTAGACTTTTAAACTTCAGGAGTCCGTAGATAAAAATCGAACTTTTGACAGATTTAGCTTGTTGCTGTTGCACGTTAGAGGGCCAAACAGCAAAAGTAGGAGGACTGTTGCTACTAAAATCTCTAAAAGTTAAAAAGCTAAACCCTCTCATCTCTTGCACTCTCTTCCTTTCCAAAAATAGCTCGCTGTTGATGGGTCACTGCTAAGACTGATGGAGAGGCAGGCTGCTGAACAAACCAAATTTTACAACATTACATCTGAATACAAGCCCTCTCCAAATGCCCTGGGTTCTATACCTAAATGTTTGATGGATGCAGGACTTTGTGATTTCCACTGAACAAAAACCAAAAGCTAAATCATCATCTGATGTTTGACCCAAGCTCCATCATCAGCTTTAGTGGTTTTAAATCTCATTTGATGCAACAACATGTAACTGCAGAAACAAACCTTTCGATCTCGTCGTCTTTGTTGAGGATCTCCATGTAGTTGTCCTTCAGCCTCAGGTAGGTGTAGCCCAGCCTGGAGAAAGAGAGAAAAGATGAAAAGGATTAATCAGAGAGAGAAAGTCTTGCTGAAGCTCTTCTAAATCAACATCACAAAGGAATTCAACATGAAAAATTAAACAAAATGCCCCCTAGTGGCTGGTTACTGTATAGGTTGTAACGTAAACTTTTTTTTTCCTGACTAAAAATTAAAAAGTACACACTACCTACTGGATGGAGAACAAACTCTCCAAAATAAAAGAACTGTTATTTATTTAGCTTGCAGATTAATTTCCAGCTTTAAAGCTCTCATTTACTAGCCTGGCCTGTCAGACTCGTCCTCTGTTTAATTCTGCACAGAGAAAGAGGCTGGTAACTCACAGGCAGAGAGGCACATGGGGGCGGGACTAAGCAGCTCAAAATTAACCAATCAGAAAAAAATACGGAAATGCCGACTGTACCGCGCGACGCTGTAGTTTTTTAGCTGTAGAAAAAAAGGCATCTGGCAATGGCACAAACTTTTTTTTTAGAAGAAAGGCTTTTTGCGCTTCTACTTGTTGTTTTAAAGACGTGTCCAAGTAATTTAGAGCAGAGGAAAGAGCCGCAGCGAACTCCGCTTCAGTCGCCATGTTTGACAAACTCGGCTTTATGGTGTTCGACGTACGCTACTCAGCGCTGATTGACTCGGTTAGCATTCTCACGGGGTGGGATTATTTGAATGGGAGAGTTCCCAGACCCGTTCTCTGTGCAGAATTAGAGGAGGAGTCTGGCAGGCCAGGCAACTCATTTATAAATTTTTCCCCGAAAACCTGCTGTTGTCTCTAGTGTGAATGGATGGCACATGAGTAGTTTTCTGTGGAATAAAAGCTCTTGCACTCCCGTTTCAGGAAGCAGAAGTTAGCCGGAGGAGTTCAGCTCGTTAATATTCATGATATGCGAACATCTCGATTCTGATTGGTTATGAGCAACGTGACCCTTCTGCTGCCTTAGGCCGGGGACACACTGGCCGCGGAAGCGCCGCGAAGCGCCGCGAAAATGGGACCGCCTTCATTCGGCGCCCTTGTTAAGCTATTCTATAGACCACATGGGCCGCCTCGCGCCGCGAATCGCCTCGCGCCGGCGCGTGCCGGCGCTCCAGCCCGCGCCGTGCAGCGATCATTTCGGCGTTGGCTCTATTTTTTTCGCGAGCCGCGGGTGAATCGCGTCAATTCTGGCAGGAAGTCAAACGTAGACATAAGAGGCAGGCCGGTAAAGTTAACAAAATAAAGCATTTCAAAATAAAATTCCGCAATAGTCAAATGTGTTCGTAAACAGACACTGCAGAAAAACCACACGAACACGCACACACATACACACACATCGAACTTGTGTGCGTGTGTGACCACGTGAAGGGGGGAGTGGTTTTGGGTGTCTTTTCACCGGAGCAAACAGGACAGAGAGGCAGAAAGTCTGAGGCAAGCAGTTAGGATGGATGACTTTAAATGAATTATGGAAGTTGAGAAACACAAGGAGCTGTACGACCCCCGAAAAACATGATTGTTTACGTACCCATGTCGGAAGAAACTGCTAGGATACAGCTGCAGAATTGGAGCGGGTTCCAAGAGATTCAACTGGCAGAAACAACTCATACCATAGGTTCACACACACACGCGCGCGCACGCGCACAAACACTCAAACGTAGGAAAAGAGCTGAGAAAAGGCAGAGAGGAAATGGAGGACACCAAGTGTTTAAAAGAAAAACTACAGCTGAGCCGAGGCGCGCCTCGACTGGGGCGCGTCTGATCTGAACTGAGGAGCGGCGAGCAGCGGCCGAATTTCGTGAGCGATTCGCTTCTCGGCGCTTCGCGGCGCTTCCGCGGCCGGTGTGTTCCCGGCGTTAGTTTGCTCTTATTTTTTTGGTTAAAATAACGCAACATTGATAAGTTCTCTCCACAAACCCACCATGCAGTGGAGCTGCTAATGCTAACGGTTTTCAGGCACTGAGCAGATGTTTTAAATGTGGTTACCGTTTCATTCCTTCCACCAGAGCTACTTCATCTGGTGAGGAGGAGATGTAGAAGGAGGTGGGCCTGCCCTGGTGGATGCCCCTCTTGATGCCGTCCACCGTCTCCTCCTCCTTCACTTGCACGGTGTGACACAGACACAGCGCCCGGAAGAACAGATCCTCATACTCCTGCAAACACATCGATGTGAATAACAACGCTTCGTTTCACACTAAAAGCACAGAATATGCGTCACTGCAGCTAAAACAGTGAAAATCATTCATTTCTTTTTTTTACTGGGTGCTTTTTATCTTATTTAAGAGGCACTTTAGCAAATTTTCATCTAACTAAAAACTGGATTTTTTCCCGTATTACGGAAGAGGATTAGGGCCACTGAAAAGAGAAAAAATAAATAAAAGAAAAGAAAGATAATTCTGACTTTAATCTCAGAAATCAGAATTTTTTCTCAGAATTCTGACTTTTTTCCCTCAGAATTCTGACTTTAATCTCAGAATTCTGACTTTAATCTCAGAATTCTGACTTTAATATCAGAAATCGGAATATTTTCTCAGAATTCTGACTTTTTTCTCAGAATTCTGACTTTTTTCCCTCAGAATTCTGACTTTAATATCAGAATTCCGAAGTTTTTCTCAGAATTCTGACTTCTTTCTCAGAATTCAGAATTTTTTTCTCAGAATTATGACTTTAATCTCAGAATTCTGAATTTTTTTCTCAGAATTCTGACTTTAATCTCAGAATTCTGACTATCAGAAATCTGAATCTTTCTCAAAATTCTGACTTTTTTTTTCTCAGAATTCTGACTTTTTTCTCAGAATTCTGACTTTAATATCAGAATTCTGAAGTTTTTCTCAGAATTCTGAATTTTTCTCAGAATTCTGACTTTTTTCTGAGAATTCTGAATTTTTTTCTCAGAATTCTGACTTTAATCTCAGAATTCTGAATTTTTCTCTCACAATTCTGAATTTTTTTTCCTCAGAATTCTGACTTTAATATCAGAAATCTGAAATTTTTCTCAGAATTCTGACTTTTTTCTCAGAATTCTGACTTTTTTCCCTCAGAATTCTGACTTTAATATCAGAATTCCGAAAATGTTCTCAGAATTCTGAAGTTTTTCTCAGAATTCTGACTTTTCTCTCAGAATTCTGATTTTTTTTCTCAGAATTCTGACTTTGATATCAGAAATCTGAAATTTTTCTCAGAATTCTGATTTTATTAATCCAGAGGAAAAAAAAAAGTCAGAATTCTGAGAAAAAAGTCAGAATTCTCTTTCTTTACTTTTTTTGTTTTCAGTGGTCCTAATCCTCTTTCGTACATTCCTTCATTAAATTCAAACTTATTTTTGATATCACAGAAAAACTGCCAAGTTCATCACTCCTCTGTGGACTTGAGGGACACCCATTTCAATATAGTACAAGGAAATAAAAAAAGAAAAACATGCTTAGGTGGAAAAATGTCCAGTAGAATCACATAAATCAGCAAAAAATAAGATTTCCTTATAAAATAGGAGTCTAAACTCACCCTTCTGTATCCTCCAGGTGAGGAGTCGATCATGTCGATGCTGGAGGCAGCGCTGAGGATTTGGCCATTGCAGATTGCATGTGGGATGTAGACGTTACCATCAACGCAGCACTCGATAAACTCCATGTTGTTCTCAGTCAGAGTGCCGGTCTTATCAGTGAACACGTACTCCACCTGACAGAACGGTAAAGACGGTGAATAATCAGGGCTCGTTTACACAAAATGTCTACTCAAGTGTTGTCGTGTAGGGATGTACCTGCCCCAGCTCTTCGTTTAGGTCAGACGTGTTCACCTGAGCTCCCTGCCCCAGCTCTTCGTCGAACATTTCCTCATCCCAGGTGATGAAGTAAGATCCGAGGAACTTCTGCATCTCCACTGTGACGTACATGGACACTGGGATGATGTAATTGAACAAAACCATGAAGGCGAGGAAGTCTGTAAAGGCTCGAATCACCTAAAGACCGGAGGGAAAATGTCAGACTTTAAAAAGGAAAATGATAAGTTGTTTTATTTACTCCAGAGGGCTTTTTGACCGACCACGTGGCGTTGGCGCTCGATCTCCGTTCTGTGGTTGTACCAGGGTTCGTCTCTGTCAGGAGACCACTGCCAGGCGTATTTCAGGACAGTGTTGATCACAGCTTTACTGATCAAGATGCACAAGTACACGATCAGAAAGGCGTTCATGGACCTGCAGAGGGTGACAGAGTAGTGTGGTTGATATTAACTGGACCTTGGAGAGCGACACTAAATCTTCACAACCGAGTCGTTTGTCTTACTTCTCAACAGCAGAGCGCTTCTGGGACTTTGATTGGTAATTAAGTGCCATCTTTGTGTCCATACCAGTGTAGACGGCCACAGCTGAGGCAGAGAAAACACAGTTACCATCATACACACTCTAGATGTTTTATGCAAATGAGTGTTCATAATAATACCATAAATGTGTTGTGTGTTCTTCAGTGTGGCTCCTCTAAGAAGTAAGTTCTCAGCTCCGAGTGTTCTGCAAGACGAAAACACACAAAAGTTGTTTTATAATCCAGAAAACTCTATTCTGATCACTAAATGAGGGTTCTTAGTAAAAATGAACATCCTCCCGAAAATGCTTCTGTTAAAAATAAAAATAGACAAAAATACACACCTAGAGATCGGCTCCTCTTTGTCCTTGTAAATGTTGATGCGTCCCACAAATCTGGGAAAAAACAGACTACTTTATATCAAGATGTACAAAGTGGAACGGTGAGATCTTTGTTTAATGAGGATGTGCTCACTTGTAGAGGTCAGGCTGAGGTTGTTCACATTCAATAGTGGCGTGTAGAGAATCCACCTCCTGCTCCGTTCTAAAGGCCATGGTATCTGGTACAGCATAATAGGTCTGAGACAGACAGGTGGAGGGAGTGGGAGGAAGAGCACAGGGGAACATGTCACCAAAGCATCCCATATAAGAACGGGGCTTGTTTGAGTATTTAGAGTTTCTATGGGCCTGGAAGGAGACAGCGAGAGGTCATCCTGGGTGTGTGTGTGTGTGTGTATTAAAATTAAAACAAACAGGAGAGACTGTATTTATTTCCATTCATTCATTTCTAACATCTGGCTGTTTTTTCTGATTACGTGTTGCAAAATGTCATGAAAATATTCTAAATTTACCAATTCTAGCATAAAAGAAGAGTTTGGATCCTTTCCTTTGGTAAAGTTGTGAACGAGTAATATGATGTAGAACAGCTTCAGTTTGGAGAAACAGAGATCAGTTCTGACCAGAGTGGTGAGCTAACAGCTATCATAATGGAGACAGATACAAGTAGGGGTAGACCAGCTGATATTTTGGGGCCATATTTACTTTTTTTTTCTTCTTTTTAAAAAATAAATAAATCGGCATTGGCTGATATAGCTCCTTAGTAAATCAATTTAAAGTCAGGCACATGCCTGGGCAGCCCGGTGCTACTGCAGAATTAAATTTAACCCTCTGGAGGCAGGTGTTCCAGATTTGTAACGTTAAAACCTACCTACCTGGTTACTCCACATACGTATTTCATGAGCATTTTTTAACTCAGAAGTACCCCTGAAGGACTTAGTTGTTCGTCCTTTTATCAAAACTTATTTTGAGCCTGAGAGGGTTAAATGTATAATTTACATTCCTGAATAACATCTGCATAATAAATGCTAAAAAAAAACAGTTTTGAATGTTTGATACTTGGTCAGTTAACTGACTTATCTGATGAACTTTATTTAGATGTCCAATTTTAACAGTGAGCAGTGGACATAATTAACATTTAACAGTTACTTCAATTCAGTGTTCAAAACTGATTCAGCTGATGATATTAGTGAAATACAAGCCTACAAATAAGGTGGAAAATGTCTAGATATAAGCCCAAATAAAACTGCCAACACATATCAGCCATCAGCACCATGACCTCTACATGTCGGCATCGGCGATAGAAAAACCAATACCTGCAACCTCTTGTTACGAGGAGGTTTGCTGTTGTTCTAAAATAACTGAAATGTAAAATTAAAATCCTGCTGGTAAGTGAACATTTCCTTTACCAGCAAATTTCAATGAAAAAAAAAATTAAACTTTATAAAATTCCAAGGATAAATTTCATCCCCAGAAAGCAAATAATTATTGTTACGGTGCGTGATGCAAAAAACCTTGATTTTGTTTATTCTAGTTCTAACTGGTATTTAATGTATTTTATTTCACCTGTGTTGAATTATATTAATTACTGGTGCTATATTTTAGACTTTGTAACTGCTGAAAACATTTTAATATTTCAATCATTACAAAAAATTCAGTCACAGGGTAGCTCTTAGCCAATAGCGATGGCAGATTTAAATTCAAATGTAGTGCAGAGTTTTTAGCTGAAGAGGGTGCAATACTGACAGTTTTAGGGAGAATAGTAAAATTTTAACTAAGATGTACTAAAGTGCCAAATTATTACATCTACAGCACGATTAGACACTCATTTATATAGTTTATCAGCAAAAAGGTTGATTTGGGGGTGACTTGCTCTTTAAAGATCTGCTGCCTGATTCTGCAAAAAAAGAATTGCAACTGAAAACTTCAATTATTATTAAAACAACACAAAAATATGAGGGAAAGATTTGCACAGACTCTGTTGTTGCGTTTCTAAAATCCTTTATAAGCCACATATGAGGATTTGGTTACCTAATATGTGATGCCTGATCTAACCTGCCTGGAAACAGAGCTTTGTTTCCTTTTGTTGTCTCTGACATAAATAGATTGTGTACAGTTATGTAACCATCACTGTGTGGCGCGATTCAGCTCGCATTTTTGGCTTAAAAAGAGATCAAATGCCTGTTCTTCAGATGCTCTGATATTATTTCCCTCCTAGTTTGCAAACCCACTGCTGGGTTTAAAAGTCGACTTAAAACTCAGGAACGAGCCAGAGAATCATCTACTTCTCCACCTTGTGACTCGACTCCCCGTCGAGGCTGGTGGTCGTGACGTAGCAGATGCCGTCATATCGGCTGGACGAGAGAAAGATGAGGTCACAGGGAAAAGTCTCGTCCTCTCTTACCACAACAATGTCCCCCACCTGAAAGAAAAGGACAGACGTAGCAGCGTTTAGGCCAATAATTAATCGATTACGGTTAGATGAGATGTAAATCTAAGAGGCTAAATCCTTCGGGTTGGCTCATCTTTTACCACGTCAGGATTTAAATGCTTTTCCCCCCAAAAGGATTGAGAAGTTACATCACAGATTATGTGAGCAGAGCAGCTTAAACTCATAAATCCCGTCTCCACGGTGACCGAACACATGACACACGCTCTCTGATTTAGCATGATGAATATATTCATCATTATTCCTACTCCCAGTTTGCACTCTAATCCTCGCTGTTTGATCTGAGGAAGAGGAAAACCTTGGGACAGAACACGCCGTCAAACAAAGACAAAACGAGAAGGTTGAAAAACCTCGGCAAGGACACCGAGATGAGAGGGAAATATCCCATTCAGGTTGTTTCTCGGACAGAAAATGGTAACACAAACTATGCAGCTCTCCGTTCTTTAAAGCTTGGCAGCTCTAGTGAAGCTGTATACTTTGAGCTGACCCTCAACATCCCACACAGCCTCTCACAAATGAGCAGCAGACACAGCAGAAACGAGATGTTTCACCACTCATTATGTACCTGCTGACAAAATTGTGTTACAAGACTAAAATATAGTGGACTGGATCGATAGATCCGCACCTGAGGTGATGAGCTAGATCAGTCACATTACACAGCACGGACATAGGTTTCCCTAAATGATCAGACAGACAACCACTCTATGTGCTGGTGGTTCGTAGTTTTCCTCTGAATATCGGCGTTCATCACTGTTACCAATATAAATGTAACTGAAAATAATCAACAAGTCTCTGACAAGTCTTACCTTCAGCGAGTTCTGCTTGTTTTATTTGACTAGAAATCGTTTATAGCCCTTAGCTTTTCGGTGGTCGCTAATTCCAGGATTATAGCTCATCTAAAAGATTTGTTGTGCAAAAATAAAGCTGTAATCACGTTCTAAAGGTGAAATATAGCTTTTGTTGCTCCAGATGACTTCAGTTTAGCCTCAACAATTAGGGTACAGATTACAGAAAGTAAACACACCTTAAAGCCTAATAATGAAACCTGTACTGGTATCAGCTCTTGGTCTGGATTGGTAAAAAGAAATATTTCTTTTTGGATAATGGAAAAATGCAAAGTGGTTCAGCTTTAAAGAGGTTGGATTGGAGGGTTAAACCACCAAATTGTTCCCAAGCACAGCTGAGTCTGCAGCTCTCCACTCCCTGCTGGGATGGGAGGAAATTTTTCACTACTCATCTGTCATCTAGAATCTTTTGGTATTGATCCATAACTGGCAACCGCCATAACTTACGGAACGACAGTGAGATAGTGACTATAGGCGTAGAAAAGACTGCAGTACCCATATTTTACCACAAGATGCCACTGTTACTTCATTCCCTACATGTTGCACCTTGAAACTGTATTTGTATCTGTATATATATATATATATATATATATATATATATATATATATATATATATATATATATACATATATATATTGCACCTTTAAACTGTATTTGTATATATTGTATATATATACAGTGGGGCAAAAAAGTATTTAGTCAGCCACCGATTGTGCAAGTTCTCCCACTTAAAATGATGACAGAGGTCAGTAATTTACATCATAGGTACACTTCAACTGTGAGAGACAGAATGTGAAAAAAAATCCATGAATTCAAATGGCAGGATTTTTAAAGAATTTATTTGTAAATCAGGGTGGAAAATAAGTATTTGGTCACTTCAAACAAGGAAAATCTCTGGCTCTCACAGACCTGTAACGTCTTCTTTAAGAAGCTTTTCTGTCCTCCACTCGTTACCTGTATTAATGGCACCTGTTTGAACACATTATCTGTATAAAAGACACCTGTCCACAGCCTCAGAATCCAAACTCCACTATGGCCAAGACCAAAGAGCTTTCAAAGGACACCAGGAAAAGAATTGTAGACCTGCACCAGACTGGGAAGAGTGAATCTACAATAGGCAAGCAGCTTGGTGTGAAAAAATCAACTGTGGGAGCAATTATCAGAAAATGGAAGACATACAAGACCACTGATAATCTCCCTCGATCTGGGGCTCCACGCAAGATCTCATCCCATGGGGTCAAAATGATCATGAGAACGGTGAGCAAGAATCCCAAAACCACACTGGGGGACCTGGTGAATGACCTGCAGAGAGCTGGGACCACAGTAACAAAGGTCGCCATCAGCAACACACTACAACGGCAGGGAATGAAATCCTGCAGTGCCAGATGTGTTCCGCTGCTGAAGCCAGTGCATGTCCAGGCCCGTCTGAAGTTTGCCAGAGAGCACATGGATGATACAGCAGAGGATTGGGAGAATGTCATGTGGTCAGATGAAACCAAAGTAAAACTTTTTGGTATAAACTCAACTCGTCGTGTTTGGAGGAAGAAGAATACTGAGTTGCATCCCAAGAACACCATACCTACTGTGAAGCATGGGGGTGGGAACATCATACTTTGGGGCTGTTTTTCTGCTAAGGGGACAGGACGACTGGTCTGTGTTAAGGACAGAATGAATGGGGCAATGTATCGTGAGATTCTGAGCCAAAACCTCCTTCCATCAGTGAGAGCTTTGAAGATGAAACGTGGCTGGGTCTTCTAACACGACAATGATCCCAAACACACCGCTCGGGCAACAAAGCTCCGTAAGAAGCATTTGAAAGTCCTGGAGTGGCCTAGCAAGTCTCCAGACCTCAACCCCATAGAAAATCGGTGGAGGGAGTTGAAAGTCCGTGTTGCTCGGCGACAGCCCCAAAACATCACTGCTCTTGAGAATATCTGCATGGAGGAATGGGCCAAAATACCAGCTACTGTGTGTGCAAACCTGGTAAAGACCTATAGTAATCGTTTGACCTCTGTTATTGCCAACAAAGGTTATGTTACAAAGTACTGAGTTGAATTTTTGTTATTGACCAAATACTTATTTTCCACCCTGATTTACAAATAAATTCTTTAAAAATCCTGCCATGTGAATTCATGGACTTTATTTTCACATTCTATCTATGATGAAATTTACTGACCTCTGTCATCATTTTAAGTGGGAGAACTTGCACAATCGGTGGCTGACTAAATACTTTTTTGCCCCACTGTATGTATATATATACATATATATATATATATATATATATATATATATATATATATATATATATATAAACTGATTTTTAATCAGGTTATCAGGCGGCTGGTTCTCATAAGGGACTGTCCCCGAAGTGCTCTATAAATACTGCTTTTTTAACCTCACAGAACAACTTTTGCATTGATTTAATTCACTAGCTTTTCTTTTTTTCCCATTATATTGTTGTTGTGACACATTTGACCAATTAATTGAAGCACAATAGTTAGAGCAGAGGTAGAGCAGCTACTTTAGTTGTTTACATTTAAAAAGGGCAAATCTTCATAAAACCCTCAATTCTTTGCATGCAAAGCATCACCTACAATCAGCCTTGCGTTTACAGCATAGTTGAGGATTTGTCTGCACAGCACGGGAGGGTTAATGTTTGTTTAGATGCCAAACAGTGGCCTGCTCTTACATCAGCAGGACAAGGAGAACATTAGAGAATGATGACAGAAACATCATAACTCATGAAACACATCACTGGACTCTTGCGTGATCCACCAGAGAGCAGTCTACTGGAGTTTCAGCACACTTAATTGGTCGGAACAACAAGGGAGACCAAAGTTAGAGAGTACTGCAGAGGGGAAGGGAGAAGGGGGAGTGAGAGTGACAGAGAAAACGTGAACAGTGCAGCAGTGCTGCTTTGTGGCCTCAGGTGCAGCGCTGGCCTAATGAGGCCATTCTTACCCGTAGTTTGTGACTCTGCGTCCGCACCACCTTCCCCTGCTGCACCACATCCACCGGACACTCGTTTATGGAGCAGTCGGCTTTGTGTCTGAGCCAGTCCTCGTAGCCCTGAGTCATGGCAAAACAGAGAGACGGAAAATAAGTTTGCATGGGAAAAGAAGAGAATATCGACCGCTGTGTGGCGTATTGAAGCAAAGCACAAGATCTCGAGGCACAGGAGGAGGTGATGGCCATTTAGTGTAAATAATTAGCATTGACCTCTCTTTGCTTACTGACCCATTTCCTATATTTCTAGTTTTAGATTTATGTCCCTGCAAACCTCAGGATTCCTCAGCTAAAACAGCTTCATCTATCACTGAGAGCACCCGATCGCTCTGTGGTGGGAGATGCATCTCCCTGGGGCTCAAGTGATTAACAGAGGACAGCGTTCATTATAATATTTCTCACATCACCAGACATATTCAATAGCATGTCCTCTCACCGCAAGAGGAATGTGCACAAATAGAGAGCTGAGCAGCCAATTGGTTGTGAGTGTGTGTGTGTTTATTTCAGGTCACAAGTTGATCTGTCCAGAGACCCGAGTGTGTTTGTGTGTCCTACCTGTTTTATGGCGGTGACAGTGATAACAAAGAAGAGGGGCAAGCCGCTGGTGATTGGGCTGGTGGGGGTGTCGATGATAAGCTGTGGGGGAGGAGGATGCAGATTGGGGGAGGATGAGGAGGGGACAATAGAAATAAGGGAAGGGGGAGAGGGAGAGATGGAGAAGGAGGCAAAGCTCAAAATGCAGATTTGGTTGCAGCTTATATAATAAACTTAGAAGGAAAAATATTTTCTGTTAGTGATCAACAAACGTGCAAATAAGTGTCAGAAAGGAAAGCGACGGGCTCTGCCACACCCAATTAGACCTATGAAGAGCATTTAGAAATGTTTATGCATCTGATAAACACACAAAACTGTGGAATTCTATTCAAATTTATTCTAGCAGTTTAAAAAAATGCAACAACGCTATTAAGGCTCAAAGTTTTTGAGCGTATGGCCACTTTTCATGGTGTTTTATCAGCGGAATAACCCTTCTGATACATATGCTTAATGAAACACTACAACAAGCTATGTTTATTAACATTTTATCTCAAAAGCAGGTTTGGAAATTTGTGCATCGATCCAAAGCATTTTTTGGTAGATTTTTGGCACATCACCTGTCACGTGGCTCATCTTAGCATCAATGCTAATTATATGCTAGGGGGGAAACCTGGCTATGTGCTTCTTTTGCATTTGATTAGTGTTTTCTCGTGGTGGTTTCTGCTGCAAATAAAGCAGGAGCAAAAATACCAGAGAAAGTTAGTTTTCAAGTTTTAGGCCTTAATGTGTAAAAAAAATAGCTTCTTAAAACTGGATCGATTCCTAACTGCATTGTTGGTTCTTTTTTAAAACACAGAAAAGGTTTCTTTTTTATCTTGTTGCTGACAGTTTCGTTCGCGGCTGCAAACTTCCTCAGAGCTGACGCTGATGGTGGCGTCACTTCCTACTCCGTTTATCCGCGGGCAGCAGAGGACGTTGTCGCCCTCTGCTGCCCGCTCTCCCCTCTCCGATGATGCAGTCCCATGCACGATCCAATGTGTAGACCCCATTGTCTCTGTTCATGGTCCCGCATCCACGTCTCCTTATCTCGATAGCTTCTTTTATCCATCTTTTGTATTTCTGTTGTTCGGTGTTTATGATCCTTGTGTTGTCCCAGTCCATTATATGGTTTTCTCTTGTGCAGTGATCTGTTACAGCTGACTTCTTTATTGTGCTTTCTGCTTCTTGTTTTGCTGCTCTTGTGTGTTTTTGACTTGTTTCTTTCTCACACTCCTTTCTACGTTCTATTGTTCGTGTGTTGAGTTGGCGTCCGGTTTCTCCTATGTATGTTTCACTGCAGAGTTTGCATGGGATTTCATAAGCAACTCCACATTTAAGTCCAGCTGATATTTTGTCTTTTGGGTGTACTAGTCTGTTTCTTACTGTTGTGTATGGTTTTGTTGGTGTGTTTAAGTTGTGTTTCTTCATTGTTGCTCTTAATTTTTCTGTTATGCCTTTGATGTATAGTAGGGTTGTCACAGGTTGTGGTTCTTGTCTTTCTGGGTTTCTGGTTCTTTGCTTAGGTTGTTCTTTTCTTTCAGTTGTTGTTTGTTGTTTTCCTTTGTTTATTGCCCATGTCGGGTAACCACAGGTCTTTAAAGCGTGTTGTATGTGTTTGTCCTCTTGTTTACGGTCTCCTTCTTCTGTTACCATGTTTGCTCGGTGATATAATGTTCTGATTACTGACATTTTGTGTATGGTGGGGTGTTCTGATGTCCATAATAGATATTGATCTGTGTGTGTTGGTTTCCTATATGTGTTTATGTTTAGGGTCCCGTCGGTCTGCCTGGTTATTTTCATGTCCATAAATGCTATACTGCCTTCTGTATCTGACTCATATGTGAACTTTGTGTTGCCTGTGTCGTCAATGTTATTCAAGTGTTGTGTTAGTGTTTCTGTTAGTGCTTTTGGTATGATTTCCAGTATGTCGTCTACGTCGCGTTTCCATAGTTTTATTTCGCAGTTTGGGGGGGCAGTGGCTATAGCTTTTAGTTCTAGGTCTTCCATGAAAAACTCGCACAGGGTGGCTGAAAACGGGTTACCCATGGCGAAGACTTCCAGTTGTTTGTATATTGTGTCATCGCATGTAAAGTAAGTGGAGTTAGCTACCAGTCCTATCAGTTGTGCTATGTCATCTGCTGTGAGGTTTGTTCTTTTGTGTAAAGTTTTGTCCTGTCTGATTCTGTTAACTACTATGTCTATGGTTTTTTGGGTTGGTGTCTTTGTGAACAGGGATGTGACGACATGGGACTGCATCATCGGAGAGGGGAGAGATAAACGAAGTAGGAAGTGACGCCACCATCAGCATCAGCTCTGAGGAAGTTCGCAGAAGCGAACAAAACTGTCAGCAGCAATGTAAAAAAGAAACCTTTTCTGTGTTTTAAAAAAGAACCAACAATGCAGTTAGAAAAGCAACACAGTAAGAACATACCAAAGATGGATCGATTCCTGACAATATATCAAATATATCATTTGAAAAATCGACACCACGACTAGTTCTAAGGAGATGTTTAAATACTTAATTCAGACACTGCTGTACATAAATGTTTACATAAAACATGAGTAGGATTTTCTTTCAATGCATGTCCAAAATTGGAGCAAACTGCAAATAGATTGTTGTGATAGAGACTGAGGGGCAAAACCCAATTTTGTACCTGCAATAGATGAGCAATCTGTTTATGAATTTGGTCCAAGCAATTCTTTGGACAAAGAGCTGCACATTCCGACACGAATAAGGTAAAAAAAAAGGGCAAGAACGTGGAAGAATCGGAGTCTAACGGTGTATTTCTTGAAAATGTTGTCTTATTTTAGATGTAAAAACTGGGAGGTCTTTACAACCTATCAGTTTCAGAATGTAAACAAATAAATAAAAATACTTACTTGGACTAAAAATATGACCAAGAAATAGAAGTTAGCGATCCTTCTGAACTGCTCAAACAGATTCTTGGGGATGAAGTTCCAAAAGGTGTACTGTTGGGATAGAACGGCAGGAAATTATTATCAAGACACATTAAAACCAAAAACAAAGACACAACACAAACGTCCACCTCTCTGTGACTCAGAGCTTGACAAACACAAGACTAATGAATTGCATCTTCCTCAAAGACGTGACATAGGAGATTACATGGTTGTCTGCATGTGGACCAGAAGAATAGAACAATGACAAAGTATGTCTGAGGCCCTCTCACCTTGGAGGAGACTATGTGGTTGTCGGGGTAACGCTGGGGGATGTAGGCTTCAGCTCCCGGAGGGGGTTCTTTATGCCCGATGTACACCGTCCGACTGTCTTCCCAGTTCTCCTCCCCCACACACTGACAAAAAAACATAACAGAAAGTTATAAATAACGTAAAACAGAACAAGAAAGTTGGGTTATATTCGATTACCCAACAGTGATTTCCTTACTACTTTAATCTGGTATTATTGAGCTTATTCAAGCTTTAGTACAGCATTTTCTACTTTTCATTTGCAGTATAAATAAAAGTAGGATAAGTACTTTTATATTCTCTATAGTATCAACACCAAAGCTGAACCCCTTCATATTTAGCCAAACATTCATAACCAATTAGCTTGCTTAAAAAATATCCCCTCTGGGTCATTTGACAAGAAAAATACAAGAAATTTACAAAATTTACGTTTATTTACTGTAGAAAAAAAATCTGGATTTTTAAATTGGTTTTTGTATAAAATACAATACATAGAAAACTAAATGGTTTGGTTTTATAATTAAACACACACACACACACACACACACACACACACACACACACACACACACACACACACACACACACACACACACACACACACACACACACACACACACACACACAGCCTAATCCAATGCCTAAGGGGATTTCTATCTATTTTAGATCCAAGCAACTCTTAAAAGAAAAGCGAGTTTATACTGAGGATTATTGCTGCAAATACAAATAATATTAGTGATGCAAGATATGAAAATTTTGGGCCAATACCGATATCCAATATTAACCTCAATGTTATGGCCGATAACTGATATTTGCCGATACTGATAAACTGACATTAATGCTTCTAAAGTCAGCAGATTTTGAATAGAATGAAAATTATGAAAGCTGAATTTATGTTATTATGTACACACAACCACACATATATATGCTTCTGAGATGATTACAATGACTGTCACATGACTAAACAAATACCCCTACTACAGACTAAAGTCCCCTCCAAAGCATTAGTGGAGGCAACATGACCCAGAGACGTCATCAAACGAAAAGAGCAATGGACACCAACTAAAGAGCTTTAACGGACAAAACCAGAGAACCAAACACAGTCCAATGCAAATAAGGTAAAAAAGGGGAAGAACCGGAGTATATATATATATATTAGGGATGGCGATACGACACATCACGATACAGGGGAGACGACAATGTATATATATTGCGATACATTCAGCCAGACGTTATTAGTTTTTTTTTACTGAATTTATAGTAGGAATATTCAATACAGTCCAAACTGATACGTAACATGTTTAACATGAGGTATCTGAACCATAATAGAGGGATTTACATTTCAATGGTGAACACAAAGCCCAATGCACACTGCTGCCAACTAGCGGTCGGCATTTGAATTGTACAAAAAAAAAGAAAGTACACAAATAATTGAATGTAAATCCTTTCAAAAATTAGATACACGACTTTTGAATATTGATGTAATATCGCAGGAAAAATAACCGTTATACTGGCTTATCAATATTTTCTTACATTCCTTTACACACACACACACACACTGAAATATAAAGTGAACATTATATAAATTTACACATACAAACATACATATATATATATATATATATATATATATATATATATATGCGTGTGTGTGTAAATTTATATAATGTTCACTTTATATTTCAGTTTGTAGCTCAGACTTGTCCTATTACCAGTCACTTTTGCACCTTAAACTGGCTGTTTGTGTGTGTATGTGTGAGTGAGTGAGTGAGTGAGTGAGAGAGTGAGAGAGAGAGAGAGAGGGAGAGAGAGAGAGAGAGAGAGAGAGAGGAGAGAGAGAGAGAGAGAGAGAGAGAGAGAGAGATCTATTTTTGCCTTGCAATTTTATTTTACTCGTATTTTACTACCTCTTACGTGAGATGTCTTTAGTGAGCACAAAGTCAATTTCATTGTACGCCTGTTCAATGACAATAAATTATCTTGACTCTTGAATCTACCACTTCAGCTTTAGGACAAATTACTATAGCCCCAAAGAGAAAAACACCATTTGAAGTCACAGACAACAAGAAGACATTTTCTTCCAAAGCTGTTTAGCGCTCCTTCATTTACTCTGACAATGTGGGTTCTGGTATCAGGCGGATGTGGCCTAGGGATGACTACCGACCGGAGGGGTGAGAGTTCCATGACCATGTTGGTGTGTAAAAGCTAGCTTGTTTTAAAGAATTGCCACTGCAGCTTGAAAATGTGATCTCTGGACATTTTAGGCTTTACATAATCAGAAAAGTTCTTTAAATAAACTTTGTAAATTTAAGAGAGTGGCTATTGACGATCAAGGACATTTTTTTAAAGAATTAATTCAAAAATGACATTTGGAGAGAATATACAAAAAGATCAACACATAGATTAAACTAAGCAAATAGTTCAGCTGGTAACAAGGTATTTAACCCCAACTGGTCCAATGAGGTGCTTCTCATTTCTTAAACAACCATGTGGAAAGACACATCTGGTGGTCATAGAGAAGATGTCAGTCTGTTGGAGAAGGGTCAGATCATTGGAATGTATCAATCAGAGAAACCATCTAAGAAGATAGCAGAAATGACTAAAATTTGATTAAAAACTGTCCCAATGCATTATTAAAAACTGGAAGGATAGTGGGGACCCATCGTATTCAAGGTAGAAATGTGGCCAGGAAAAAAAATCCTGAATGATTGGATCAGCGTTCATCAAAACATTTGGTGAAATAAAATCAAAGAAAGACAACAGTAGAACTCAGGGCTATGTTTAATAGTGAACGTAAGAGCATTTCCACACACACAATGCAAAGGGAACTCATAGGATTGGAAGTGAAAAGCTGTGTAGCTGTAAGAAAACCACTAAGCAGTGAGAAAAACTGGGGGGAAAAGTCTTCAATTTGCTAGGGGGCATAAATATTGAACTCTGGAGCAATGGAAGAAGGTCATGTGGTCTGATGAGTCCATATGGATCTTGTTCCAGAGTGATGGGTGCATCAGGTTAAGAAGAGAGGCAGATGAAGTGCTGCACCCACCATGCCTAGTGCCTGCTGTACAAGCCTGTGGGGGCAGTGCTTTGATCTGGGGTTGCTGCAGTTGATCAGGTCTAGGTTCAGCAACAGGATGTGCTCCATGAGTGAGGTCAGCTGACCAGGTTATTCCATCAATAGATATTTCTTCCCTGACAAAGAGTGGTTCGGGGAGCATGAGATATCATTTTCACACATGGATTGGCCACCACAGAGTCCAGACCTTAACCCCACTGAGAATCTTTGGGATGTGCTGGAGAAGTCTTTGTGCAGCAGTCAGACTCTACCATCATCAAAGTAAGAGCTTGAGACATTAATGCAACACTGGATGAAAATAAGTCTTGTAACATCGCTTATCGAAACAATGCCACGGCAAAATCATGCCGTAATCAAAGCTAAAGGCGGTCCAACAGAATATTAAGAGTGTGTGACCTTATTTTTGGGTGGCAACTTTAATTTTGGCCAGGCAGTGTAGTGCACAGCTTTGTGCATCCAACAGAGTGATGCAAATGTGCCGTCTTGGCATCAAATCTCAACATGACAGAGTGGGACTGCAGGACAGGGATGGAGAAAAACAAAGCAATTGCATTGAGGTTTGCAGTTATCTGATCATTAATCCCCACTCATCTGTATCAACCCTCACCTCTCTGTTCTCTCTTCATGCTGCTGCTGCATCAGACAAATTGGCTCTCCCGCTGGTCACCAGACATGGAGGCTTTGTCTTTATTAACAAATGAGCTGTTTTCACATCATTATCAATCACTGACAATGACGCGGCGTATTGAATAACAGCAAAACATCCCTTTGCTGCAGCTTTCTCATGGCGCTCTGTGTGCTCTCCTCAGCAGTTTAGTTTTCACTCTGAAATCTGGATTTTCATCAAAATAACCGCAGCAGGCATGCTATTTATAAACCTGGAAATAGTGCTATAAAAAGTCGAGAGTATTTCTAATTTTAGAGTGGTCTTCTTCCAGTGTAAATGCCTTTGCTAATGCATCCCTCCGCAGCACTTAGCCACAGTGTAAAGACATATTCTCACTGTAAACCCCATCAGTGTCATGATATTTCCATGATGTAGCTCCCTTTTATTACAAAGCTGTAATAAAACGGTACACACCATTAACTGGCCTGATTAAACCATCATGTCTTTTACTTCCTCCACTGTCCTGCCATAAAGGGATCCCTAATTAACCTGCAAATCAGATCTCCTTCCCTGCCCTTCATATTAATCAAATTATCATGTTAACATAGAATGTATGACATTTTAATATTTTTTGTGAATTGACAAATTTCTTATATTTTTATGATTGCTGGATTTTAGTCGATCCCTTCTAGTGAATTTTGACTCCATGTTAACTTTTGCTCACATTTACAATAAATTGTGCAGCCCTAGCTGTAATTGAAATGGAACAGAGAGTTTAAACAGCGTGTTGACCTTATTGTTTGTATACAACCAGGGACTTTCCATGCTAGGCTCGTATGTGTCACTAACAAGAAACATGGCTCACAGCATGCACATAATGGCTGTGTCTAAATCCAGGAACCACGTCCAGCAGAGTATGCAATGTAAATGAATTACATCCTAGCAAAGTGACAAGGCTCTCCAAATTTCAATGATACTTATAATGCGTCCTTGTTTTCCCCAAATTTCAAGGAAACTTGTAGTCTTGTATAGATTTTTGTACTTGTAGTAACAGCAGATGAAGTGGGAGAAAATTACAGTTTTAAATGCCAGCATATTAATATTTGGCAGTAAAAAAATGAAAAGCTGAACTAGTTAGCCTGTTTTTGTTAACATATGTTTTTTTTGTTGTAAAAAAATTATAATAATAAACAACTTTGTATGATGGATCCTGTACTTCTTCTTAAATTGCCACTAAGTTTAGCTTTGACTTTCATTCACTGCAGTCTTGGTTGCTATACCGATAGAACATATGCTGAAGTAAGGACAAAAATAATACCGAAGGCCAGACTGTCAAAATTCTCAGCAGCTCGCTTTGGTCTTAGCACTCGAGGAAGGACCCGACCTACGTAGACGAGGTAAGTCAGGTCTTTACAAGGATGCTA